TGGATAACAATATTCCTTTATTTAATAACAAAATACACTCGTAAATATTCCCAGCGAAATGTAATTTATTGCATGGGAATTCGAGGATTCTTTTCCTTTCAAAAACCATCGCTCGCCGCATTCTCTATTAATTTACCTTTAAACCAAGTTTTATTGGATTCGAACTTTCGAAATCATGCTGAATTCTGAATGGATGACATTATAGATTCTAGTTCCTAAAACTTCGAAGCCGATGATTCAAATTTTATTTTCTTTGTAATAAATGGGATGCAGTGGAAAAGTATTTACTGGTAAACGGCGAGCACTGCCACCGCAAGTGAATGTTTTCGCGACCCATTAAAGACCTTTTTTATTACCAATTTGAAAAACGGTTTTTCAGATCTTCGCATTTTCTTTTTCTACATGCAAAGATTTAGAAGTTCAGACTTCTGATAAAATTAATTTTTAATTCAAAAAGATTATTGATATCAGTTTCAATTTCATCTTTTACAATGAACAGAATAACGAAAGACACAAGAGTTGATTAGTATTTTCTCACTATTTGGTTCAAGTAATGCGTTATGTCTACCTTTCTTTCATTTAGATTCTACTCGGAAGGTTTTAGATTTAATTTTCTACTTATCTTAAAAGACCATTTGTTTTGACAGGTACATGATGCGGTAATAGATGGTGTGCAAGTTTTTCGCGTCGAAACCGATTCAGCGTGGACTGAGCTCATGGATGTACAAATCAGCGTGACTCCGCCGAGTAAACCACGCGAAAACCCCTTTAAAAGCATTTTCCGTAAGAAGAGACAAGATTTCTCTGGTTTGCCCGATTACTGTCATTGTGAACCAATTAAGATCACTTGTCCTCCTGGACCTGCCGGTCCACCTGGTGAATCAGGAAAAGATGGGCGTAAGTTTTTATGTATCGTTAAATTCATAAATTATATAATGTGCATAATTTTTTTAATTTAGAATTTTGCTTATACACAATTTCTTTTACTTTGGAATATTAACGATTCATTTTTCTGCTTTTATATTCTTAAATTCTGTTTATGAAATCTTCTGACATTTATTTGGATCACTTGCAGCGCCTGGACCGCCTGGACCTCCGGGAGAAGACAACTCAATAACACACGCACCGTTGACGTGTCCTCCTGCTGACACCTCTTGTATCAAATGTCCAGCAGGCCCAGCTGGACCGCCAGGAATGGATGGTGAGCCAGGACCAGCAGGACCCGATGGTCCACCAGGACTGCCAGGACCAGGAGGAAATGGAGGTAAACCTGGACCACCAGGACCAAGCGGTGATGCAGGCCAACCAGGACCAATGGGACCACCTGGTGAAGCGGGATCACCCGGAAAAGACGGAGAGAGAGGAAGAGGTGAACGAGGACCTCAGGGACCGCGTGGACCACCAGGACCATCTGGTTCCGCTGGTCCGGATGGCGAAAAAGGAGCAGATGGGCAACCAGGTCCCGCAGGACCAGCGGGCCCTGCAGGAAAAGATGGATATCCTGGAGAAGAAGGCAAACCTGGATCACCTGGCGATGCCGGTCTTCCAGGAAATGATGCAGCATATTGTCCATGTCCTCAACGCTCTGCTGTATTCATCGGTCGTTTCACTCAGTAACGAAAACTAAAATTATTTTCAAAAAGTTCACAATGAAATCAGCAATAAAAGATGAATAATTACACTATTATCACATCAAATTTTCAAGATTTTTTGGCGAAGAACCCTTAAAATCCATTAAATGAAAAAAGTAATGATCACTAATAATGGGTGCCTTATCGGATCATTGAAAGTGGTACAGACACAGTATCACCTAATTAATCCACGGGTAAATAGTATAAAGAAAGATTAAAGTATGAATTTGAATTTGATTGAGTATATGATCAGTGAAAAAGACAAATCGAGAAGTAGACAATCATGCGATCCGTGCTGAGGAGACATCCAGACATATTCTGATAGTATAAGTTGTAGATGCTTGAAGCTATGTGATGTGGCACCCATGGCAGTTTCAATATTTGATTTTTCTCATCTACGGAATTTTAGATATTTTTGAGCTCATATTTGAACATGCAAGTTGAAAGTTACTCTCACCAGGCTGTACTGTGAAATATAACTTCGTCGCCAGACTGAAGGTGTAAATAAACAGCAATTCAGCTAGTTTCGTTATTACGTCGTATTCCTGCTACTAATATCATGCAAAAATATTACATACATTTCATCTGTGTAATGAGTTCTTCTAGTTCTGTTGGCTCTCGATTTGAAGCGATTGGCAGGAGCGTTTTCTGAAAAAAAAAAACAAACAAATTCATTTGTATAATGTGGCACCGACTAAAACTTTACCAAACGCACCTCTTATGGATTTTTTCCACTGCAACTTTTCTGAAGATCGAAGTTTTTGAAACATAACTTTTTCAAAGTTTATTCCTTTAAGTCATCCAAGCTTTCTTTTATTTTTTCTTGGGCACCCAGTGATTCGTTGGGCAGCTTATTTGTTATTGCTAATGACAAGGTTCTACCAGACACCCAATGAGACATTAATATTTTCATCCGATTAAACAACAGTTAGTTAATCTTCAAATAATGGTGATGAAAAGCAGGATGCAGCGAACAGTTTTTCTTCAATAAACTTTTAAAATTTGATGAATCGCTTTTGAATTTTAAATATTTCCCGAAAAAGTATAAATTTGAATTATCATAACCTAGTAAAACGATTCAAAAGTTTGAATCGTTTTGTGAAAACTGTCATATTCTTAAGGATTTGGAACTATGAGTTAATGAGTACCGAAAATAAGTACTTTTTCAATCAAAACAAATTTAAATCTTGATGGAAATCCGAGTTTACCCCATGGAATTGACTACTGATGTTCATTCAATAAACTCATCTTTTATCAAAAAATCAATAATTGTCATCGTTTCTTTCGAATTTTTCTCAAGCTTCCCTCAATAGCTTATTATATAGACTTATTCTGTGAAACATCAAAAAACAAATGCATTTGGCAGTCGTAATTCTTCGTTTAACTGCCTCCTTTCATTGGGATCTTATCGTAATCATTTCTAGATCTTGTAGAAATAATTTACATTACCAAATGGATTGATTCTATTATGATGGAGATAACATTGTATGAGCGGGAAAGCTATGAAATAATTGGTAAAAAAAGGTTCAATTCTTGAGAAGGAAGTGAGGGAGTACATGAAGAAGCGCAGATACTCAAGTAATTAATGTGAAATCTTATATATTATTATTCATCATTGTCTTTCTAAAGCAAGCGATGAAAATCATGAAGGTTTGTAACCTATCCTCATTCTTTAAATATTTTAGAAAAAATAATCTTAAAATATTAAGGGTGGCTGTAATAGAAAAGAGATACAAGACTTTTCAAAAAAATCACTTAAATCTTAATGATACTTAAATTTATGGATAGAACTTTTAGAATAAGTAGTGAAATTATCTCTTTCCACAAAGGAAACTTATCATTTGGTATGAAGTGATTAAGCTAAACAATAATCAGTGCTGCTCTATTAAATTAACATCATTTTGAAAGATTTCTTTTGAAAAATAATTAAGCAAAGGACATTTCAATTTGTTGCTATCAACAAAACTCACTTCCTTTTTAACCCACCAATATTTCATTTTTTTGAAGCTAAATCTTCATAAATGTTTTGGTAATTAACTAATTGATCAAAAAAAGAAAAGAACTGATTTTTATTGATTATAATGGAGGCAAATCTTCTAATAATTCCAGCGAGTTATTACAAGTTTTATATTTGGCAAGTTGAGCTGATTATTTAAACAGTATATATGAATATAATAGTAGCTGTATATTGTAGTCCATTTCAATATTTTTAATGCTTCGAAAATTTATCCGAAATACTATCTTCCGATAGATTTTATTCGTTACCGGAAATACATAATTAAAATAAATCTTTCTCAACTTCTAAGCTTTGATGAAGATGTGTTGTAATTTATATAAATGGATAAAATTACTCTGATACTATTTTGGAAGGACGAGAAGTAATTGTAAGCGCAGCTGTAGGTAAGGATTATTAATTAGAAAAATAGAAAAATCAAGTGAGAATAATATCTGGTATTCCCTTAAGAAGTAACTGCATGCGTTATAACTGCCAAATACTTTCAAACATTCACGAAGACTAGTCGTGTTTTCGTAATTTCTTCTTCACTAAACTGAATAACTTTTGAAGCACTAAATCAGTCGATTCATATTCAAAATCAAATTTAAAAGTTCGCCAACATCGTAGAAGATATAATAGAGTTGGTCCATCTCATAATTAAATAAATTAAAGCTGACGAAGGGAGGTGAGAAATATAGGAGTTCTGCTTACTCTATACAAATCAATCTAACAAGAATTGACTAAAAGTGAAAATGAGTACCAATTTTTACTAACATTGAAGAGGATAAAATTTAGCTCTTGACAGTGGGAAGAAGTCTTGCCGATAGGCAGAAAGTTGTTATCCATGGAAAAAACATTTTCCACTTTTTTAAAGACGATTTTCGTTCAAGATAAAATTCTGGATGAAAGTTGATCGTTTCTTTTGTGGCCATTTTTCTAATTGTTAAAAGCTGAATTTCATAATTGAAATCTTTCCACTTTTTTCGTGAATTGTTAAAAGCTGAATTATACGCCGTTATTTTCATTCGTTTCATCGAATAACTGGGCAGTATTTAGTGATTCGATGAAACAAATGATGATAATAGTGTATAATTGGATCAGCTGGACCTTAGCTCTCGAGTAGATTAAGATTGTGATCGCAAAGATTCTTCATTCGGATGGGGAAAGAGCCATTGACGCTGTAAGTACTCTTACAAATCCCACAATTTAAATTGGTCCTGAGATAATTTCATGGTTACGGTTGATGAGTTTCGCACGGAATCCTCTTTGTGATTCGAAATTAGTAAGTAATAGGAATACTGGTGTTACAAATTACTTTTGGTCGACATGGGATGCGGATCATGCTAGTGCCTCCGTGACTTATTCATTATTAAATGGAGAATCAACAGCCAAAAGTATTTGGAGTGATTGTGGCTGGTCGTCCGGTAAGATGTATATATATATATTATTTTTTGAAGTGCACAATAATGTCTGACATAATGGGGTTTGCCATTCACATGCGTTATATCATTCATACTGGTGGGAAAATACCCACAGAACTTGTATCAGTTAATCTACTAATTGCAGAGATATTTAGCTTACTTAAAAATTTACTCATAATATCTGTTTCAAGCCGTAATGTCTAAAAAATTTAACTGAGGTGTCAGGGTTACTTTTAATTTTCTATATACGGTTAAAAAAAACATGGCATTTAGAGTTGCTGTTAGCTCATGTGTCCAATTTATAGATCCAGACAGATTTTGTTCAAGTAAGTGGAACAGAATTTGTTATTGAAGTGGCCGATTCCGGTTCAGCGAATCATGTTGTCGTATTCTTGACAGGCATTGCACCATTTCCTGCGGACATAGGTGGCACCGGTATGTAGTCGCATTTATTGCTGTAAATTTTATTAGTTACTAACTTCGTTCTGCTGAGATGGTGGTTCTTAGTTAAACTCATTGAATTGTACTTTGCATTAAATAACATAATGTGATGTAAAAAAAAATCATCTCAAAATTCGTCCGATGAGAAAGGGTCCCAGATGCATAATTAATTCCTAATTAATTAATCATATTTTTTAGTTTATATTCGGTGGCCAAAAGTCGGAACGGAGACAAATTGGCATTACCTCGGATACATTACGAATGATAAGCCGAGTGCTATATTTCGAGTTGCGCAAGTATAAATTCAAATTCGTAGGAAGTGTGAGCGCATAAATACTTTATTATGTGAAATAGTGAGTGAAAGTTTTCCTGAGAGGAATAAACTTATCTGTAGCTACTAACCTGCATAGGTGTACTTGAAGTTTTTAAAAATTATAAGTCGAAAGTAGTATGGAGAAAGATCTCTGAAATCTTTTTTTTAAGCACTGTCTTTCTAGTTTTAGCTTCATAAAATGGATGCTGTTCATGGTGGTCTATTCATATCCAACATATCGACGAGTGGGAGTGCAGCTGGCAATGCTCAGATTGGTATCAGTGTAGAACCACTTGCTGTTATCACAAGTAAAGTTCCGGCTGAGGGGACGGCAATTAGTCAACAGGTATGGTATGATCTGGGAAAATTTTGGGAGTAGACAACGCAATGTAGGAGCAAATGTGGCTGGACTGGAATGAATCATGTTGAGATGTATGTACCCAAATAGAGCAATAGCAAAGCAAGCAACAAACTGAAAAAAGGGTTTTGGCTGACAACTAAGCTGATAAGTAAGTTACTCGAAATACTGTTAGTCTGATTAATAGAATCAAATCTTATGGCTTGATGTTTAGCATGTTGAGATTCTTTCTTGAGATCTGCGGACGACCTCATATATACAGTATTGCGTTTTCTTTAAAGAGAATGGACTACAATGGTGGCATTATATAATATTGGGGAATGAGGATATACTTAACTTCTCAGGTTCCAATCACTGCTATGTAGTTTACAGTCATCATTCATGGAGTTCGCAGAGAAGATGTTGCAAAATTTTGTCAATCATCTGCAATCATTTGCCGTCCGTTTGCCTCGGCCAGAAAATCCTGGCGAATCGACAGACTTTATTTCAGCTTCTGCGGTGCAGAATTGGTATACAAACTTTTCCCGGCGGTTACAACAAAATTCCGAATTCTGGAAATGCCTTTCATGAACTGTCCATTTTTCAAATATTGTTTCTTTTGTAAGAATTGTTACCATTTGGTCCATGATTTCTTTTTCAATTTCTTGTTTAATTGTGTTCTCATTGGTTATTTATATTACCATTTCGTTGTTTTCATATTTGTTCACTGATGTGAATCGAAGTGTAATCTGGATAGAAGCGCTACCAGTACAAGTCCTAAATGATCTATTAAAATGTTGCATTGGTTGCAAACATCAACTCGTACGAACTAAGGTGACTTATCGGAATGTGCACTATAAGAGTTTGATTCATTGAGAAAGGATAAGTTCAAAGAATGTGTTGCACTCATTTGTAATTTGGAGAGTTGATTAATTATTGATTATTTATCACACGACATTATAGAAAGCATGTATCTTTTGTAAGATCACCATTAAGATTTGTGGTTGTTAAGGATAAATCGTTTCTTTTAGGTAATAAATTGTTTTTATACAGTGCGAACCGTTTTGAATTCTATTTGTGCAAAAATCTTTGTCTTAAGTGACACAATTTCAAGAGATTGTTTAACAACGATGCTGCTCAATCAGAGCAGAATTCCTTAAATTGTGAATTTTTTTTGCTTGTTTAATTGCTTTACGGTGGTGCTCTGTTCATAATATTGTCCTGTACCTTAGATTAATGCTGTGCTGTATTTGATTCGAAAGGTAAATGAAAATGTTTCAGGTAAGAGAATGAACGCCAGTAATATATGTCAGAGTCATCTTGATCTCAATGCACAGAACGGTATTACAAGCTACGATATCAATTCTCTTGTCGATGATGATTTTGAGGTTTGATTTCCTTACAGCATCATTTCATGTCGATTATAAAAATTGAGATTATGTCATAAGGCGTTGAGGCACTTTATCAGTTATTTTATGACTGCAAAACATTTCATGTCAAATATTAGAATGTATGATCTTTTTAAGATGCGTCTAAACTCCAGCTCGAAGATTATCCTTTTTGATCTCATTTTATAGTTGCTTATTTTCAAATAGCTTTTGAGAAATAGCCATCTGCTAAGCACTACAATTCCTTTTTGACTTACGTAATGCTTTTGCAGTCTCATGCACTGGCATATGTATAATATGATGTATATGGTATTCAGATGATAGGAATCTGATTTCTTACATGAGTAGATTCTTATTATCAAGGCTTTGAGGTATTCTGTTTTATCTCAGTGGTATGTATGCTAACTCTATCGGATAGGTAGATTAGTTGGAGTAGTATGACATTTGCAGCCTACAGTTACATCTGTCTACGCATTGGTGGGTTTTCGTTGACTCAATCTTACCGGTACACTAAATTTTGTCTTCTTAGTTTGTAATACAGCTTTTGTGAAGATATTCCTCTCTTTGTCTCGGTATGTCAAGATGTCGGCATTGCCAGTTCCAAGTCGTGACGAGATGTTAGGATTTGTTGTACACATTTTTTTTTATTGTCTAGATGCAAATTTCCAAACTTAATGTTTCATCAATTTCTGTGGTGCCGCGTGTGCATGGTTTCATAATACAGTTCATTGCGGTTTTAGTAACCATACGATGGAATTCTGAAATGTCCCCTCTGCAAATTCCAAAATTATCAATTTCAGGTAATCGGTAGTTTGAGTGATACGATGCGTTCGGTGTCATTGGAAACTAGTTCAGAAATACCGCTGTATAATATAGAAATTGGTAACCGTTACACCATTGCCGAAAATCCCACTAGTGCAACTGCCGTAACGAATAAAAAGATTGATGAGGGCACTGCATTAGCGAATAACAGTTTGAATCTGTTGTTAAGTAATGCTGGTCGGAATACTAATATTCTGACGCAGATCATTATTAAGTCATCATCAATCGATAGTACAGATCTTTCGGTCCATCTTTTTCATGGTAATCTTACAGAAAAGCTAATTTTTTTTTGAAATCCAATATTTATATTATCATGTTTACTATATTTGCTCAATTAATTGCAGCGCTCAAATAAGATAGTATATGATTCCTTCGAAAGAAATTTATGAAATCAATGTTAAGTAGTTCTTTTAAATTCTTTGGAATGAAATTACGCATGCTTTGAACTCTTTAATTGAATCGCAGGAGAAATTGTTTTATAGCCGAAGCCTTTGCTTAATAAAGAAATTCTCACTTTAAAAATGTAGAAGAATTTACAGAAGACCCTATTAACACAGTTGAATTGATACGAGCTGACTATCAAGCTGCACAGCAAGCAGCTAAGCAGGAAAATGAGTTGTTACGTAAAGCATGCGAAAAAAAAAACGAACAGATAAGTTTTCTTATATTTGGCTCTTCTTTTTCGTCCTTACTTTTACCTTACTTTTACCCATCCATATATTTTCCTAAAATTGTAGTAATATTCTTATTCAGATTGAAATGTTGCGCCGTAGATTGGATGAAGAAATTGCGCAGAAGATTCAACTCAGTGCAGAATTGGAAGAGATTCAGCGCAATCTTAATGAATGCAGGTAAGTTATCCATATTTACGATCATTTTTTTAGGAATTCGGATTTGTGCTGTTGTCACTGTCACAGCATACTAGCAGGGTTATTGAGAAATTTCTGACAAATTTCAGGATAAAAGTGGACGAGGAGATTGCCGGCAAAATTGAGCGTGAAGACATTATCAGAGTTCTGCAAACGACAATTGTACAACTTCAGAGTAGCGGTACGTAATTTATTACCGTGCCGTTTCTTGATCGCTTGACAAATTCGTGTTTAAAAGATCCTTATAAATTGATACTACGGAAAGTAACTATATTCACTTTATAGTTCTGATCAACTGATATAATTTCAGCCATGAGTTTTCAGTTTGCACTCTTCATTCACTCCTGTGTAAATAAATATAAGGGTCGCTGCAGGACACAGCTTAAAGCACATTAGTTTAATAAATGTGCATCTTCTGCACAGTGGCTAATGTTTTGAAATTTCAGGTGATTTAAGTTGCCTTGGATCAAGTGTGGTTAACGAACAAGCTTTGGTTTCCTCGCTGCATGAAAAAGAAGAACTCATTGAGGTATTTTTTTTCATTTTTTCAAGAAGAACTCATTGAGGTATTTGCTTTTACTTTTAAAGGAAATTTGGTGTAAATAGGAGCTCGATTAATCGTTTTAATTGTTTTATTCATTTGGCGAGCTGTTCTTGATATTCCAGGCGCTTAAAAAACAATTAGAAGGAGCTGAGGAGCGGTATGAAAAAGAGCATAAGGAGGTACTGGATTTGGAAGAAATAGTAAAAGTAAGTTTGTGTGGTTTTCAAACTCAATTTTTCAGTTTGTGTTTCCAGTTGATTTGCTCTGTTAGAAGTTTTGAATTAGAATTGTCTTCATTTCACTGATTCTGCATGATTCTAACACTACTTTTCTCAGATCCTTCACGAATACCTCCAGAATGATCAGCAGACGCAAGTGGAATAACTGTGACAAAGAGTGCAGTTGGAGATTGTTCAATATCGAATATCGACAACATAACCTGCAGTCCTTTAATGGAATGTGTTTTACTCGTAAAAATTGCAGTATTAGGAGTTAGTAATGCTATTTTTATACCAACTACCTATGTCGTATCAGTAAAAATCTTATACTTTCTACTTTGTTGCCTATTGTGCATGATCACTGCAAAAAGTAGATGGCTTGTTTAAAAGTCGTTATAATTACGAGGAAGATGCTTTTTGTTGAAGTTCCTACCTTTTTTTTTCAGTAACTGCATATTGAGAAATCTGGGGTGTCATTTTTGAAATGTCTTTCATTGTAATTAAATTTCGTAGTCCCCAAAAAATTTACTTCTTTATCCGATTGTTAATTTTCTTTAGTCAACAAAATCTCAGTTTGAAAACCTTCGACCACCGACCAATAAACTGGTAAGCTCTGCTGACATGGAAGCTACGAAGGGCTTTTTTAAATAACCTTTGTTTTGCCGAACCCCTCCACCCGTATTCTTCTACTCAAGCTCTCAAAACGATCATGATGATATTCATACTTGAAAACATTTGGATGAACTAGACCGAATTTACTCGATATGTAGCATTTTCGACCATATATAT